AAAGTTTCACAGAACAATATGTGCCCTTACCACATGTGATTCACTCTTCTATTTGCTGTTCATTCGTTTTGTTAAATGCTAGTTGCAACCCACTAAATTGATTCTGTGATAAGCCCTGTGAAAGGTGGGCTTTAGAACTTCAGAAGCCCTCAACCCTGAAAAGATCAGAGTGCAGGTCAAGTCAAGGGGACCTGCAGTGGAGGGTGTGTGGAGGGCATTGGAGGCAAAAGACTGGAGGGGCAAGCTGGGCTTAGACAACAAAAGGCTTCCATTGTCACACAAAGGAGTTTGGACATTTTCTATAGGCAATTAGGACTCACTGGAAGATTTTAAGTATAGGAGGACCCTACTTAGTTTTTAGAAAGATCACTGGGGTGGCTGTGAGGATGGATTGGAAAGACCAAGTCAAGGACAGGGGAACATATCTGGAAGCCGTTTCAGACATCCACATGAGAGAGGACAGATGAAGCTATAATTGAAGAAACAACTGGGAGAGTGGGGAGCACAAAGTTGACAGATGTGAGAAATGGTGAACACTACAAACATTAGGGCTTGGTGCCTGAGGGTTTTAGCTAGAATGATTGAGCCAATATGCTGGTTACCAAGGCAAGGACAGAGGAGGTTTGTGGGGGAGAAAAACAGTTCCATTTTGGAGTGAGTTTGAGATACCTATTGGGAGAATTTCAAGTTGGAAACAAAATTCTCTTTTATATATATCTTATTTATTTCAGAGAGGAAGGGAGGAGAGGGACAGAGAGATAGATAGAAACATCAATGATGAGAGAGAATTATTAATTGGCTGCCTCCTGCTTGCCCCCCTTCCCCCCCACACGGGGATCGAGACCACAACCCCAGCGTGTGCCCTGACCGGGATTTGAACCCTGACCTCCTGGTTCATATGTTGATGCTCAACCACTGAGAAACACTGGCTGGGCTGGAAACATAATTCTCAATCTTTCATTCAATACATGTTAATGAGACAGACATAGAGAAACAAACATTTTATTTTTACATTAAAGAAATAGAAATAAAGTAACACCCCTCATTGCCTTTATTTTGAAAAAGAATATTTTGCCACCCCAAAAATAGGGTAAGCATAATATTTTTAAAAAATATGTTTTTATTGATTTTTAGAGAGAGTGGAAGGGAGAGAGATAGAAAGATAGAAACATCAATGAGAGAGAAACATCATAAATCAGCTGCCTCTTGCCCGAGCCCGCAACCCAGGCATGTATCCTGACCAGGAATCAAACTCTGACCTTTTGGTTCATGGGTTAATGCTCAAACCACTGAGTCACACTGGCCGGTCAGAAGGCATAATCTTAAAATAAAGTGCAGTCCTTTATAATTGAATACATTTAGATTATTGAAAAAATATATTTGATGTTTTCCCCATTTTGCTGTGACCTATTGAAAACATCACTGTGTATCATCCTGATTTGTGGACTATAATTGAGAACCACAGATTTGAGGAATGGGCAGAAGAAAGGTCAGCAAAAGAGATTGAGAGGAATGGTTCCAGAAGTAGGAGGAAAACCAGGAGAGGGTGATCATTGAAGCCAAGAGAGGAAGAAGACTTTTAGAAATGAGGACTTGGCCAATAGTGTCTTTTGCCACCCAGAGTTCAAAGAGATCATTGAATTTGGCAATTAGGAGGCCATTGGTGACCTTTGGTAGTGCCCTTTCACTAGGAGGATGGGGCTGGGGCCAAACTGCAGTAGTTTGAGCTGTGAATGGAAAGTTGGGAAAAGTGGCAATTTAGAATTTAGGCTCTACTTTCACCAAATTTGAGGAAAAAGGAAAGAAAAGAGAGATGGGAGGGGGAGAGAGAGAAAGTTATTCAGAGAGAGAAAGAGAGCAAGTTAGGCAAGCAAGAGAACATATCTGAGCAGGGAAGGGAGATAACAGTAAAGGGTATTTTTATAATCAGAAGAGAAAGAGCTAGCATAAAGAAACTGAACTATTTTTCTGAAGAGAAGGGACATAATGTCTGAAGGAAGGGTCCAAAGAAAGAGGGTGGATGAGGTCAAGGCCCTTGGGGAAGGGATTAGCCTTTAACAAGAGGGAAGAGGGACACCTTGTCCCCTGAGAAGGGAGGGCTGAAGTGGAAGGAAGTTGGAAAGGCAGGCCGATTTTTTGGGGGGTGCGGCAGGGCACTGAGGTAATTAATGCTTGAAGGCCTCTCTTTTCTCAGGGAAGTGGGAGGAGAGGTTGTTCCATGTAAGAGAGGGGCGGGGCTCCCACTTAATGCCCAGCAACATTTGCAGGCCTTAAATCCTTTAGGCTGGGGAGAGGCCAATGAGAGAGGCCAGTGGCTTTATCTTCCACAAGCTGAATGTGGCTGAGAAAATTCTTAGAAAGTAGCAAGACAGAGCAGTTGTGTAGGGAGAACAAAGAGCCATGGAAACAGGCTTGAAGGCTATGGGGACTCCAGGAAAGCACGTGGAGTGCTGTTGTGGGGGGAATCCTGAGACCAGCTGCTCAGGAGAGTAAAGAGTCTGGACAGCCCCAATGGTGAAAGATTATGGCTGAATGAACACAAGTTCAAGGTGGGAGCTGGCATGGCTATATCTGGTTGGGAATGAGCTCTGGGATCAGGAGTAATGTTTACCTGTGTTCCTTTTCCCTCTTCCCTCCTGCCTATTTTCAGACCATGGCCACCTAGAGATCAAAAAGTTCCCAGGGTATGTCATTAGGTCCATTCCTTACACCCTCACTTGCCATCTCCTTCTAGCCCAATCTTTTCAATCTGGCTTCCTTTCTCAGTCTCCTTCCTCATTTGAATCAGTGATGCAGTTTAAGCAAATTCTCATCTTCTGCAGGTAAATTTAGCAATAACCCTCAGAAACTGATAGAAACTTGGGCTCCCCAGAAGCCTTCATTTTTTCCCCAAAGATTTTCCTCTCCAGGATCCAGGATCTGGTCTGCACTTAAACAGTTCAGGGACAGAGAGCTTACCTCATTTCACCGCATATAATAAATCTCTGTTTGTTAAGGGCCGGCACAGTGCCAGGCCGTTGGGTTAGGTGGTGGCTGGGCTGTTAGAAAGTTTTCCTTTGATTGAGCCAAAAATGTGTCTCCCTGTAGCTTCCACCCTGTCCTTTGAAGTCACACAGAACAAGTATAACCCCATTGCAGTCTAATCCTCAGATATTTGAAAATGGCTGCGATTTTTCCAAGAATTTTCTCTCTTCTGTGGATAAGCATTTCTTTCTTTTTATTTTTATGTCATTACTTATTATTGCCCAAATAATATTAGGTCTTATGGAACTTTTCAGAAATTTCAGAAAAGCATAGAGAAGGAAGTAAAGATTTACCATATCTTACTCCCAGAACCAACCATTGTTACATTCTTCTTTCTTTTAACCAGTATTTTTTTCCTGCACTCTGTATATTCTACACTTTTTCCTTACCAAAATGGGATCCTGCTCTGACTTATATTGTAGAGGCTTCTTCTTTTCTCTCTTCAATACATTGACTTTTCCCCAATCTTCTACCAAGCCAATTTTAATACAAAATTTTATAACTGTTCAATGATTTATTTAACCAGCTTTCTAAAATGAGACATTTAGGTTGTTTCTAATTTTTCTTTTTTGTAAAGGACACAGTGGGGCTGGAATTTGAAGTGAGGTGGCGGTGGGGGGGGGGTAGGTGAAGAGAGAAAAGAGGAGCCCTCCAGTCATATTATTCATCCTATTTTAGACCTGATTTTTTTCACTTTCTCTGTGGATAATTATACTTCCTAGAACATGATTGTGAGTGCCTGCTTAGTATTCAGTTGCAAGGACTTACTCTAATTAATCTAACCAGGTTCCTATTATTGGACATTCGAGGTTGTTTCTAATTTTTCACCATTACAAACCCAACTGTAATGAATATCCAGGAAGCTAAATCCATTATGGTGCTGGACACTAAGGTCAGGAAGAATATTTTTGGGCTTCCAAGCACAAGGAGCCTGCCAGTAGTTGCAACTGGAAGCTTTCTGTCTAAAGCCCTGAAGATTGGCTAAGACCAAGGACTGTGCTCGAGCCTCTGGGCTTGCCTGGGGTCAGTACCCATTTACCCAGCCCCCGTCACAGAGTGTTCAGGCTTCAGGGCCTTTTGGGACCACTGGGCTCACACCCTCCTCTCACATGTGAGGGAAGTGAAAGCCATGGAACCAGGGATAGTCCTTCGGCAGCTTAGCAGCTGGCAAAACTCTGCCTCTCCCAGCATCCTAGGTCCTGAGCTCTAAAATTTGGAATCTGACCTGGAAGCCCTGACAATACCGCTTGCATTCCTTTACAGAACCACTTACTGCTGAGGCTGCAAAGGGGATTCTGGCACTTTTGCAAATGAGCTAACCAGTAAAGAGGAGGGCATGGGAGGAAACTTGAGGTTTAACCCAAGGGCAACTATACCTGCTCCACCCAGAACCTCCTTTTTTCCTAATCCAGGTGGTATGCTTAGTGGCAGCCACCCTATATCAGGTGCACCTGGCAAATATATTTGGAGTTTGAGCTGAAATAACAGGTGACTTCCTCACTCTCCTTAACCAAGTCAACTGTCCTTCTTGTTGGGAACGAGCTGTGCTAAAGGCCTGTCTGTCCAGCCCTCCATGCCTGACAACTTTCTGTGGTTTCAGATACTAATGAGCTTCCCACCGTTCCCCCCTCCGGCTTCGCTACTGCCTGAGGTATTCACACAAATGGTGTGTGATTTGCCCCTTCTATGTTTTTCTTTCTGACTTGGAGGTAAAGATAGCCTCTCACCCCCCACTGACTCTCTGTTTATTCAACTGGGAGAGATTTCACACCCAGGAACCCAGTTCTCCCTCTTTGAGTGCCTTTCTTAAATCTTCACCAACCCCCCCCCCCTTCAAGTCCTCCACCTCTGTACTTCCCTGAATAATTTATGAGTCCAGGCAGGTCTTATAAAGGGTCAACCAGGAAAGGCCAAGAGTGCAGCAGGTTCTGAGAAATAGAAGCCCTCATAGTCTGCCTGGTCTTGACACCCTAAGGATGGACCCTTCTGCTCCCACTGCTCCTGCTGTCCCTGTCCCAGCCCTGGCCCTAAGTGTAGCTCCAGCTCTAGCACAGGCTCCCCTGGCACTCCCTGGCTTGTTAAGCCCATCACCCCTTCCTTTCCCTGGACAAGAAGTAGATGGGAGTAAAAGGTAAGTGGAACTTGGCCTTTGGCAACCTGAACTTTGGCTTTAGTGGGTTTCCTGGGAAAGGAAGGAAAATGAGATGTCCAAGGTGGCTCTGTGCTCTGTGAAGGAAAAAAAAAAAGGGCCTCATAACCCTCAGAAACCATCCCTTCCACATCTTGGCTGGAATATCTCAACTGACTTTTAACCTCACTAATCCCTCTGGGTGACAGGAGGGGCCTCGGGGACAGTGGGCATTGCCAAAGCTGAAAGCTGAGCAGCCAGGCCCCCATGGGTAAAGTTGCTCAGTCAACTGAGAGGCATACAGGAGAATGCCCTGAAACCTGGGTTTAACATGACCTAGGCTGCAGATAGAAGGAAAGAGGGCCAAACTTTCAAGAGGCCTTTGGGGGAGTGTCTATTTCCTGACCACACTATAAGATATCCATTTGCTTCCCCCCTATTTCTGGAAGTCTAGTGGGGAAACAGTTGGCCCAGGAATATTTCTGGCCCCTTTTCCCATCCCAGGAAGGTGGGAGGACTCTGACCTCTGCCTCTTGGAACAGGAAGTAGGGGGTAAGATATTCTCCACCCAACCCTCATTCATTCCTCCAAATATTTAAGGAATTCAACAAATATTTACTGAAATGCCTACTGTGTACCAGGCACTGTGGTAGGTGTTGGGGGATCCAGATATGATCAAACATAAATCTGCCCTAAAGAAGCTCAAAGGCAAGTAAACAGTTACAAAACTGTGATAAGAGTAATGATAGCATTGTTGAAACAGAGAGGAAGGGCTCTGTCCTGACCTGGGCTCAGGTTCCTTAGGAAAGGCTTCCTGAGGTAAATGGCATCCAAGTCAAGTGTTTTTGGAGGCCTTTTTGTTATCTCAGGGAGTCTAGTTTCCAGTCTCCTTCCTCCACTGACAGATCTCTCCTCTATGTCCTAGAGAGGTTTGTCTTTGGAGGCCCTGGCTGTGCTCTACAAATGATCTCCCAAGGCAGGTGAGGAAACTTGTACATTTGGTAAGTTTGAGCCCCTGTTACACATGTTTGCATGTAGCCACTTGCATTCACACTGACCAGGTCCCTTCCCAGAGAGCCCCTGGCCTCAGTCCAGGTCTGCAGATCTGGGAAACCATCTTTGCAGCCTTGCTCATATTTGATTCTCACAACAGCTCTAGGAGGGCAGACCTGAAGTTTCTTTGCAATTTAAAGATAGAGAGACTGAGGCCCAAAGTAGGGGAGGGTATGAGCAGGCCCCAAAGCTAGGCTATGGTAGAACTGCTGCCAGAATCCTGGTCTCCTGGCACCTAGCCCCAGTGCTCTTCGCCCACCTCTGCCCCCAAATCTTTGCTGCTCCGGTAGAACTCTGTCCCCTGGACAGGCTCCAAACATGTGTTAGAACAGGGACAGGAAAGTTAACAAGCCCCAGGACTCTTTTCCACTAGCTTTTCAACCAAAACCAGGACAGACCCCTTTGGTGGGGGAGGGGCCAGGGCTGGACCCCAAAGATGTCTAAGATCTCTTTCTAGATCATCTTACCTGCAGGTTTCTGACCTCTGATACAGAGGAGGCAGTTATTTCGCCATGTACTTTGAGCCACATGCTTGCTTTTGCTTTGAACAGGCCACTGGTGGGGCAACAAGTGCTGAGGTCATCAAAGCTGACTCCAAGTTCCATCACCCCGTCAGGTAAGCTTCTGGCACCAAGCTCATAACTTTACATAGGTTCATTAGCTCTTTAAATCCTCACAATAGCCTGTGTATCAGGAGGAGGGAGGCACTGCTATGATCACTATTTCATAAACCAGAAAACTGAAGCCCAGAGAGGTTAGGGACTTTGTCAAGGTTACCTTCCCTGGAGGCACTGTCAATGATTCCTAAGAATGAGCCTTTATGGATAGATCAGTGAAGGAACCTTAGTAGGAGATGGGGAATACAGGAGAAATATACATACTTCTTGGGTAGAGGCCTTGTGAGGTGAGTGTGAAATCAGTGTCAGAATTGATAGATGCTGGGTTTGCAGATCCCCACAGTCATAGGCCCACCATATGTTACCTTTCTGCCTGGAGCCATTTTGTAACAATTCAGAAAATTCTGTTATAAAGCTCTCTTTCTTCCTTTCTCTCTCACACCATTATTGTGGGTAGGACGAGGAGTTTAGGGCCTGGCTTCCTCTGTGGTCCTACTGACCCCTCTGTACATATGAGACCTGTCTAAGGTAAGGGCCATGGTTTTCTCTGTCCACAGGCTCTTCTGGCCCAAATCCCGCTCCTTCGACTACCTGTACAGTTATGGGGAGATTTTACTACAGAACTTCCCTGTCCAGGCAACAATCAATCTGTATGAAGACTCAGACAGTGAAGAGGAGGAGGAGGAGGATGAAGAAGAGGAGGAAGACTAAGAAGAGTAAGAGAAAAAGGAGGCAAATAAAAAGGGGCCAGAAGGGTGTGTGAGGATACTAAGGTCAGCACCACACAGAGTCACAAGTCATCCTCCTTCCCCATCCCTGACCTGTTCAAACTGAGCCAGAGTCTGATTAAGGTTTTGTATGCCTGGCAAGGCTCCAGGGCATCGATTAGCCAGGAATCTCCAGGCGCAGCTCTCTGGATTGAAAGTTGGGTCCAGGGTAAGTTGGTACTTGAGGACCCAACTGGACTGTGAGTACAGATCCCTGGCATCTCATTGACTGTTGCTTTTGTGTTGACAGTGGGAGGGTACAAGTAGCTATAAGGGAAGGAAGATCTGCTTTCTGAAGCCCCCAGGAAGCAGATCAGAACAAAGCATGCCCATGTAGAGGGGAACAGTCACTCTTTGGAGCTCTTTGACTCCCCAGCCTTCCAGGTGGCCACATAGTCCTGTCTCCCTGTGGAAAAATTCATTTCAGGCTTCTCCTCCAGGGATACCAACACATTTAAGCAGAGTTGAAATGCTTTTCTGATGGGCCTTGCAGCAAGAGGGAGGGCATCTAGAGAATCAGCTTGCTTTGGGGACCTCCCCTCATTTTGGCTGCTATCAACTGGGGTCTCTGTTGGCATGAGATGAATCAGGAGAAAAATAAACTAGATGATGTTTGCCTTTTTCCTGTAACTGCTGATTTCTTAACCGAACTCTGTTCATGTTGTGAAGCCATGGGCACAGGGTCAGAGACCAGTTCAAGGCCAATTCTTGCTCTATCTAAGGTCAGTTTACAGATGGGGGTGTAAGGCCAGAGGCCCCAGCACAGGCCAGGCTCTCTATATCAACTTGTGAAATCAGGCTATATTAAACTTCAAAGACATAATGGAAAGGGGGCAAAAAGGCCCCCAAAATGTAGCTTGAAAATTGGGATTAGAGCTATGAGTTGGGGTAGGAGGGTGAGAGGTGCAGCCTTAGTTCAGCCTTGGAAATGGGTGTGTGCATATGGGGAGGAGAGCTTAGGGGGCTACTCAGTCCTATCAATTTTACTTCCACAGTTCAGGCTCTCATGCTCAAGCATGTTCCTCTGCAATTCATCCTCCACAGTGGCCACCAGATCAGATCATGCTGCACCCCTGCTTAAAGGCCTACTATGGCTCTTCATTGTCTCACCAATAGTTGAAAATGTTTCCTTTAAAAAAAATCACAGATCCCCTTGAGAATCTATTGCCTCTCTACTCATATATTCACAAATCAATTCCTTAACTTGATATTCCAAGCTGTCCAATTATTTGTTGCCTATCTCTCTTTAAAAAAATTTTAAATTAAAATGCAGTTGACAGTCAGTACTATATTAGTTTCAGGCGTACAAAATTGTGATTTGACATTTATCTACCTTACAACGTGATCACCACAATAAGTTTAGTACCCATCTAACACCATACAAAAGTATCACAATATCATCGACTATTTCCCCCATGGTGTACACTATATCCTGTGATGTATTTTATAACTGGAAGTTTGTATCTCTTATTCTTCACTTGCCTATCTCTTCAGACTCATCTCTCAACACGTAAAACCTATGCTGCCTGTCCTTGAATGTGTCATGCTTTCTTTCACGTCTGTAGCTTTAAGTCTATGATAGGAATGTTCTTCCACTTTTATCTGTCTGATAAACTCCCATTCAACCAATAAGACTAGCTTAGACACCTCTCCAGTGAGAAGCCTCCCAGACCTCTGAGTCTAGGTTGGGTGTCCCCATTACATTCAGTGCCTCCTTTACTATAGCATCCACCCGCTTCTTATGCAGTAAGATAAGGCTGTGTTTAATATCTCCACGTGACTTCATTGCACAGCACACTGCCTAGCACAAAGCAGGCACTCAGGAAATGTTGAAGAAAAAAGATTCTAAGGTCTTTTTAAAGCAGTTCTTGACAGAAATTCCTCTGTCCTCTCCCTTGCTGGCTTCCCATTTCTTTGCTTAGCTACAAACAGGACAGAGTAACGCAGTCTGATTCAAGAATAAAACACTAGCCATCTTTTCTTCCCTCTTCCATCAACTTGTGACAGGCTACTTCAGTTCTGAACCCTGCTGGGACTTCCTTGAATTGGACTCAGCCTTGAGTAGGCAACCAAATTCATACAGTGGTGCCATCTATTGGTAAAAATTTAACCTTGTTCCTTTTTATTGCCAGGCAGTTGACCTTTGACTGCTATATGGCTTTAGTTGATTCTGTTTGTGCTTGTAAGTAAAGTGGAATCTACCATGTGCTAGCTGTATGACCTTGGGCAAGTTACTTATCCACGCTGAGGTCCAGTCTCCTCATCTGTAAAATGGGGAAAATAATGGCACTTCCTCTCAGGGTTGGCATGAGTCAATGAAATAATATATGTAAAGTACTTAGCACAGCCCTCAGCACGTAATAAAAGCACTAAATAAGTGGTTGCAGTCATAGTAATCATAGTTGCAGTAGTGGTTTTATTAATTTTATAACAGAAATGAGCTTTATAGGCTCAAGTCAGCTAATGACTGGTTTACTCAACTAATGACTGATTTGTCAGTCATCTCCACCTGATCTCCCTGGCACCATTTGATGGTTTATCAGTCAAAGCATCTTTGCAATTTTCGTCCCTCATTAAAAAAGAAAACACAAAACAACGGCCAAATATGTCTTCTTAGGACAGAGGTTTCAAAGCTTATTTTTTGTGCTTTAGCAGGAACACCCTTCCTTTGAATTGAATGTAGAAGTTCCATATACAAACCAAACAGAGCTGGAGCTGTTCTCAAGGAAGCCACAATGGAGGGGGGCGGGGAACCATAGAATTCCCACCATGGTGTCCTCTCTCTTATAAGCAAAGCCTCTCCATTCCATTCTGTAAGGCACCTGCCAGGGGTTCCTGGATTGTGGGAAGGCTACTTGGAATCCACTATTCCAAGGGTTAAAATAAAATTGATCTGAAGTCTACTGGGGATTAGTACTTTAACATGTTCAGTGTTCCATTTAAAATCCTTGTTTTGAGTTCTAAGCTCCCAGCATTTCATAGCTCAAAAATTGCTCCAGTCCTCTGTACACATGGTTGCTAAGTAATTGGAATTTACTGTTCTAATCAGAGCCCAGTGTGAGTTACTTTGTGTTGGGTATATTCAGTCCTAATAACAACTTCAAAACCAGTGTACAAAGTCAGAAGAAAAATATCTGTGCAAAACCCAGAGTCTTTCCTCCAGCTCCATCCTAGTGTCCCATACTTCAGACCCCGGCACGGATGCCTCCTGTTTCCTGCACCCCATAGTAACAGAGAGGACACACCGGTTGAACATGAGGCTAGATTTGAGCTGGGCCCAGCTAGAGATGGAGGGAAAAATCTTTCCAGAAAGAGGCAGCAATATGAATTCTTTCATTAAACAAATATTTATTGGGTACCTACTCTGTGCCAAGCATTAATATTATAATGGTTAAGAGCATGGGTTTTGGAGGCAGAAGCACCTGGTTTCAAATCCCATATCTGCCACAATGCTGTCTCTATCCATGGGCCCATTCCCCTAAGGTCAGGTGTCAAGGTCAGTTCTCTGCTCTCAACACTCTCACAACCAGCTCTGTAATCTCTTATCATATCACACACACACACACACACACACACACACACACACACACACACACACACTGCACATACTCGTTAAATGTCGCCTATTCTCCTTTGTCTCTGGGCAGAAAAAGGCCCCCCACCTACTCCAGTGGGTGTTACCAACCCCCACCTTTCATTCCTGTCCCTAATTGTGCCTGTGTGGTTGTCTAGTGGGCAGTTTGTCTCCCTTCCACCCCAGGCCCGTGCTGTAAAATGTTTGCCAATCTTCTTCCCAAACAAGGTTGATAGATGGCCTGAGTTCACTCTCTTGACCTGTTTGTTACTGTGTTTTTTGTTTACTCCCAGCTGCCAAGGCTTGTGGCAACCTCCAGGCAAGCACACGAACCCAAACACAAAAACCTGGCTTAGTAAGTAGTGGCCACAATACTCTTTGCAAGGCATTTGCTACTCATGTTACAGCCATGGATCTTCTATGGTACTATAATCACAACAATCCTAGAAGATAGGCACAGTTATTATGCCCATTTATGAATGAGAAAAATAAGAGTTAGCAAGGTTTTTGTACATGGGTTTGTGTGGTTGCATGGAGGTTGCTACAAGCCTTTCAAGCTACAGTATAAACCCAAAACACAATAACTAACTCCAGGCCTCTGACAGGACAGAACAGTGAACTTGTGCTACCAATTTACAACAGAGGACTGGGGAAGATAGAGGACAAACTGCTCACTGGATAACCACACAGGCAAAGTTAGGGGTGGGTGGGTAGGAGGTGATAACATCCACCGAGGTGGATGAAGGGACTTTTCCTGTCCAGAGAAGGCTAGGCAACATGGTGGTTAGGAGTTATAACAACTGATAATTATCAAATTCTTACAATAGATTTGGGTGCATGGCTAGGAACCTTACATGGATTAACTCACTTAAAATAACAGCCCTGAGATATAGCTACAATTAGGGAGATCGGGGTTTTGGGTTTGTTTAAAAAAAAACAAAACAAAAAAAAAAAAAAAAAAAAAAAACTTGCGCCCTAACCGGTTTGGCTCAGTGGATAGAGCATCGGTCTGTGGACTGAAGGGTCCCAGGTTCAATTCCAGTCAAGGGCATGTACCTTGGTTGTGGGCACATCCACAGTAGGGGGCATTCAGGAGGCAGCTGATCGATGTTTCTAACTCTCTATCCCTCTCCCTTCCTCTCTGTAAAAAATCAATAATATATTTATAAAAAAATTATTAAAAAAATAAGTTTCCAAAAATCACAGAGCTGATCATCTGTAACATCATCTAAGTGTGAGGCACTTTACCTGCATTCCTCACTTTTTATTAATGTTTTTATTTTTTTTTATTTTTAGACATGGTGCATTTTTTATTGTTGCTCCCTGTATTTTTATTTTTTAATCTTTATTGTTGAAAGTATTACGTATGT